ACACTGACTGTAAATTAAACCATATCATTTCAAGTTTTACCTGGGAACTGGGTGATGTTGTTAAACATTCCTGAACTTTAGTTTCCTTGTGTTTAAAGTAGACAACTTGCAGACTTTGGAGGTTTGAGTATCATGATGATGATTAGAACAGCTAGTGTTGATACTGTACCTGTGGTGTCCAGGAACTTTGTCACATGCTTTACATATATGATCTTCTTTACACTTTGATAAAACTTTGTGAGAAAATATTAATAGCTCTATTTTTATAGCCAAGTAAGCTCACACCCAGGAAAGCTAACTTAAGTCACATAGCTGATTGGTGGAAAAGAGACCCAAATGTAGGTGTAAGTGGTTGTAGACCTCCTAGTACTTCCATAATATAGGGTGCTGTATTAGTTTCTTACTGTCTCTGTAACCAAATTTGGCAAATTTAATGGTTTTGGTTTTTTTTATTGTGTTTGTATGTAAACCTGTGTGCATGTACGTGCGGCTGTCAGAGGTCCATATCAGATATCTTTCTCAATCACTCTCCACCTTATTTTTGAGACAAAGTCTCTTACTGAACCCAGAGCTTGCTGATTTGAGTAGACTTACTGGTAGGCCAATACACTTCTGGGATCTTCTTGTCTTTGCCTCATAGTTCTGGGATTTCAGGTCTGCTCCATGGTACTTGGCTTTTCTACATGGGTAGTGGGGCCCAAACTCAGGGCCTCATTTGCTTATGTGACAAGGACTTTACCAGGTGAACCAACACCCTTATCCATAACTTTAGTGGTTTAAAACAACAAGAATTTATGATTTTATAATCTGAAGCTCAGAGTTCTGAAATAGTTATGGTTGGATTACAAAATATCCAGAGGGCTGTGTTCCTGGAAGCGACGTGAAAGAACCATTTTCCCCCCATTCCTACTTCTGGAGACTCCTAGCATTCTTTGCCTCTTAGTTACTTTCTAGCTACAAAACCAGCAAAGCTAGGCAAGTCTTTCTCACAGTTTTACTCTGACAAATTCTGTCTATGACTGTAAGTCATCGCTTTGTCTTCCACTATGCAGGACACTTGTTATCACATTACTCTCCCCAGAGTAATCCAGAGATATCTGATGAGCATCTGATTCACAGCTTTAATTCCCATATGCCATGAAACACAACTTATTCGTAGATTCTGGGGATTAGGAAGTAGACCTTTTTGGAGGACCATTATTCTTCCTCCTGTATACAAGGATAATGCAGAATAGTAAGATATAATGTAGTAAATATGTTCAGTGGACTTTCAGTATTTTAGTTTCCTTAGCATCTTTTCATCTAAGCTGGATTGCATCATTCTCACCTCTCTCTCTCTCCTGCTGGCTATGTTTTTCATCCCTGATGCTGATAGCAACTTTACTAATCACATAGTTATACCCATTATAGACGCAACAGGCAACACAGAGCAGACAGTGATACATCATCACCGAGTATCACTCTAATAGGTATGTCACCCAAGTAGGTTAATCAGGCTTTCTTTAAGAATTGAGATTGAAGGTCAGCTTCCTCTTTCCCCTTGGAATATGAGCCATATGGTTGTGACTCTAAAGATGCTGGTCATCACGTGTCTATGTATGCATCCTCTTCCTCTGACAACATATGGAGAAGCAAAAGAAAATGGAGCCAAGGAAAAAGCTGGAAGCCTGACCAGAGCTGAAAAGGGGAGATTGGGCTCTTTTGCTATGCAAATCTAGAAATTCTGTTGGCACTGCAGTGTATTCCACTCTTAGGTTTCAGAGGTCACTGCTGTGAGACAATAATTTCTGCTATTTTGCTTAGGCTAGCATGAGCTGAATTTGCATCACTGGACATTAAAAAATCCTTAGAATAAATGCTTCCATTGAAATGTCTCAATTTTTGCTTTTTTTCATTGTACTATATAACACTCATGACATCAAGAGTTTCTGCCATAGCGCTGGGGATTTTCTTAACTCTATTAATAAAAGTTGTATTTTTAAGATATTCTTTATTATTATTGTGTGTGTATGTTGTATATGAGTGCCATGGGAAGAGCATGTGTGCTTATGGTAGTCAGTTCTCTTCTCCCATCACTTGGACCCTGGAGATTGAACTCAAGTCATAGTCAGGCTTCGTGGCAAGTACTTTTACACACTGAGCCATCTCACCAGCCCCAAATCTGTATTTTATCAGAGTGAGTCTTGTGTAAGTTCTAATATCTTGTAAGAAGTAGGTCTGATAAGTGAAGTTTACCATGTATTTGTCTTAACTTAGAAATTAGATTCCTAAAAAACAGGGCTTCAAATGGACTTTATTAGGAGATTTATAGGTTCATGGTCATAGCCAGCCATGATGAGGTTGTGAAGCAGGAGAGCATTGAGAGAGCATCATACCATCAGCAGCACTATGGGGTCTGAAAGAAAGAGCCTGCATTTCCGGTAGAACAAAGGGAATTTCTGACCCTTACAGGTTTGTTTGTTTGAGGTGAGGGTGACACCATACCACTTGACCTAGCATGGCCTAGCCTATGTGCCAAGAATCACAAATCAGGAAAGCAAAAGATAAAAGTAAATTCATAATTCAAGTTTTCTTAAGTTTTCTCACAGTTGTGAGGGGGAGGGAGAGAACTTCAAGGCCAACATACAACAATTTCTTATCAGCTCTCTGTCCTAAGAGAGAGACAAGCTGCAAGGGTGTGTGGCCTGATCTGGGGGAGAGAGAGGCAGCTAAAGTCTGTGATCTACCAGAATCTCTGAATCAACAGATTTTTAGAAAGAGGGACAGATGTTGAATAATATTGATCAAAAATATTATTTAAAAGAATGCTTAAAAACTAGAGCAAGCTAAAATATTAACTTCTGAAATATATTTTCAGCTTTGGAATATTTTTACAAACTTCAGGTGTGCGTGTGTGTGTGTGTGTGTGTGTGTGTGTGTGTGTGTGTGCCCCCTTCCCCTCCCAGATTAAATCTGATGGCAGCCAGAAACTAAAGAGAAAAAAAAATCTGACATTTAGAGTTGGTGAGTTGATAGACTGGATGTACAATACTGTTCTATCTTTTCACCTGATTTCCATAGGAAACAAACCATTTAATTCATTCAGGGACTATGTTTACAAGCTAATTAGAACTTTTAACTGGGTCCAATAATACTGAGTCAGAGACATTTTGGGGGACTTATATTTTGAGTACAGCTGGATAGGCATAGCTTTGGGTATTTGTTTTATATATATCAGCTAATATAATTCTCCAACAATTATATGAGACATGTTTTTATGGTAGGCAGAATTCTAGAGATGCCCAGCCTGTATTATTCAATGAAACCATAACCTAGGTACTTGTCTGAAATTGTAATTACATTCATGTGCCTTAAAACCTAATGGGGTTATCTAGATCATTTCGCTGTGCTTAATTTAACCATTTGATTCCTTGAAAGCAGAGAATTTGGGGGTGTTGACAGAAAGTTGTAGTAAAAGGCAGAAGAGAAATTATGCTGGAGAGTGAGAAAACATATGGGGGTGTGTGTCCTGCTATTGCTTTGTTTTGAAGAATGAGGCAAGAATACAAAGTAGGGTATATGAATGGTATCTAAAAGCTGAAAATTCCAATCTAAAATCAGCAAGAAACAAAGAACTGAAACCAAGAACTTGAATGAGTTTGAAAGAGATTCTGCCCAAGACCCTTTAAGGAGGACAATCCACTGTCATACCTCATCAGTGTAGGCCTAGATTAGGGACTAAAGAGAACTGGAGCCCTCGATTGGATTTTGGTTGTGGGTGGGATAGGTAATAATTCTTGAGAATATTGTTCGACTCAGGTGTGTATGGTGGTTCACGCCTATAATGCCAGCACTCTGGAGGTTGAGGCAGAACTTCTGAGAGTTAGAAGCCAGCATGGCCTGCATAGTGAATAGATTACAGAGCGAGATCCTGTTTTTTGTACTCTTGTCCCTGTTGCCCCAGCTGGCCTGGAACTCACTATGTAGACCAGGCTGGCCTCAAACTCACAGAGATCCACCTGCCTCTGCCTCCCAGGTGCTAGGATTAAAGGCGTGCGCCACCACACCCTGAGAGACCCTGTTTTTAAAAAACAAAAACAAAAACAAAAATCAGAATAAACACCTAGGATATGTTGTTTGGTTTATGTATCAGATAATGTCTTTTCATCAACATTGTATTTCCAGAATTGTGGTTATTTAGAAGTTTTCTTGGGAGCTCAAGAGATGGCTCAGCAGTTAAGAGCATTGGCTGCTCTTAAAAAGGACTGGGGTTTGATTCCCAGCACCCATATGGTGGCTTAGCAACCATGGTAACTCCAGTTCCAACTCCTTTTCTGACCTCCCCGGGCACTGACAACAGGACAGGACATGACAGGAATGCGCCAACCTACATGCAAGCCATACGCTCATACACATAAAATAAAAAGTAAATAAAAAATTAAAAATTATCATCTATCTATCCATCCATCCATCCATCCATCCATCAATCATCTAGTCTTTTTTAGACATGGTCTCCCTGTAGCCCTGGCTGGCCTGGAACTCACTATGTAGACCAGACTGGCTTTGAACTCACAGAGATCTGCCTGCCTCTGCCTTCGTAGTGCTGTAACAAAAGGCATGTGCTACCACACCTGGCTAAATAAAGTATTTTTTAAAAAGAAGTTTTCTCAAGAGATACATGTTCCAGTATTTAGCGACGAAATATTCCTCATTATTATGTATGTAGACAGAGATAAAGCAAATGTGTAAAGCAGTGCAGTTGGTAAATCTAGATGAAGGGTATAGAAATGTTCATTGAACTATTTTTTGCAGCTTTTCTGAAAGACTTTGCAAGTGTTTCTTAACAAAATTTGATAGGGAAGTAAAAATCAGCGTGTATATTCTGTACTGAAAGCATTTGGGGTAAATATGAGATAAAGCGGGTTGAGCTGCTGTAATTAGGTTGAAATCTGGAGTAGAACAGTGACAGTGGAAATTTAAAAAAAAGAATTTCATTCTCTGCTACAGCTTTCCGTTTTAAGGAGCCTTGCGGGTTCACGCGTTTGCGCAGCGCCTACACGCCAGGCTTCGGCTGGAAGAGTCCACTTCTAGCCCAAAGCGCAGGAGGCGACGTCCTAGATGGAATTAGACCTTCTCTTCGCAAGGCATCCTCCCTACCGTCAGCCTTTCTGCTTACATAAATTCCTCTTTTTCTAAGTAGCTCTTGAAAAGTGATGTTGAATTAGGACAAAAACAGAGTTACAGGAAAAATGTCTTTTCCTGTCTTTCCCTAGGGTTCGCAGCGTCGTCTGGGCTGGGAGCGGAAGCGGAAGTGTTGGCCCGGCTGTCCCCAGCGCCAGGCCTAGGTTTTGGCCATGGAGGTGTCTCCGTCCAGTGATCCCGTGCTGGACGCTAAATCCGAGGTCAGTACTGGCCCGGAAGAAAAGGGGCAGTGGGCCGTGGAGCAGGAAAAGGGCTTTCTGTAAGTTGTGTTTTCTGCTTCCGTTTCAGGTCACCAACCAGGTGAGTGCCGGCCCTGCCCCGTCCCCAGCTGCCGCCTCCGAGCCTAGGGATGCTGCGGGATGGTGCGGGTGCATCGGCCTTCTGCCTACCTGGCCTACTGCAGCCCACTGAGTGCAGACCAAGTATTGCTATTCCTTAATTAGGTGATCTTTATTTGAAAGCAGGAATACAGTGTTTTAAAACGAGATACTTATATGAGAAATTGCTTAAATAGTGCCTCAAATATTGTTTGCTCTTTTTGTTGTTTTGTTTTGTTACTTTTGTTTTCGCGACAGGGTCTCACAGGCAGCCCTGACTGGCCTAGTATTGCTATATAGACCCGGCCGACCTGGAACTTACAGAGATTCTCCCGCTTCTGCCTCCCTCTCCCCAGAGCTAAAGGCATGCCCTATTAAGTCCTGCCTACAGTTCTTGCTCTTCAGGGAAGTTTTTTTTTTTTAATGCTGTTATTTGTTTTTGGTCTTTTTGAGACAGGGTCTCCCTGTAGCCCTAGTTGGCCTGGAACTCACTATGTAGACCAGGCTGGCCTTGAACTCACAGAGATCCACCTGCCTCTGTCTCCAGACTAAAGGCATGGGCCACCACACCCGGTTTAAGGAAGTTGTTCTGTAGTTGGAATAATTTTCAACCTTCCAGAGCACGTATTTTAGTTAGGAATAACAAATTTGACTTTTTAAATGTACACTTTAACAAAAAAGTGAAAAGACTAGAGTATTTTAGGTTAGGAGTTACCTACATTCATATAAAATATAAGAAAGTGCTGAAGTTCATATGTTGTTTGAGACAGGGTCTCCCTTTAGCCCCGGCTGGCCTGGATCTCACTATCTAGACCAGAGGGGCCTTGAACTCACAGAGAATACAAGGACTGAGAGAAGTATCCATTGACTGTTATTCATCATTTGTTTCCAAATGATTTTTTTTAAAAATTTGAGGCAGGATCTCATAATCTGTTGAGGCTGGCCTTGAACTCGTGATCCTGCAACCTCAACAGTCTGAAGTAGCTGGGATTAGAAATTGTTGCTTTGAGGATTCCTGAAACGGAGGGGAATTCTGAGATACTAATAAACCCTCTTTTCTTAACATTACATGAGTTTGTTTTTATTTCAATCTCATAAATCATTTTTCCATTCACTTTTATTACATTATGTGTCATTTTTGTTGTCTGAGACAGGGTCTCCCTGTAGCCACAGCTGGCCTGGAACTCACTATCTAGACCCGATGGGCCTTGAATTCACAGAGAGATCCGCCTGCTTCTCCCTCCAAGTGCTGGGATTAAAGGCATGTGCTACCATGCCTACATTATGTGGTTTAACAAAGGTACTCTGAAACTGAATTGTAGTAGATTATACAGTTTTTGGTTTTGGTGTTGTTTTTTTTGAGACAGAGTCTCCCTGTAGCCCCAGCTGTCCTGGAACTCACCCTGTAGACCAGGCTGGCCTTGATGAGATCCGCCTGCCTTTGCCTCCCAAGTGCTGGGATCAAAGGTGTGCTCCACCATGCCTGGCTAGTTTTTTTTTTTTTTAATGGAACCTTTAACCCTTTAAAAAACACATATTCTTCCCAGCTCTAGAGGTCAGAAGTATACAACTAGTCCTACAAGGGCCAAGATCAAGGAAGGTATTGGTATGGTTGTGTTCCTTCTGGAGACAGGAGGGACAGGCATATTTCTATCATTTTGTATTCTTAGATCCTGCCTCATTTTTTGATTTGTGCCTATACTTTCATCTTGAAAGGACATCATTCTAACTCCTGCTTCTTTTTAAGAAATATTTTATTATTTTTTATTTTATGTGTATGAGTGTATTGTTTGCATGTAGGTAGATGCGCCTGTGTCATGCAGTGACTGAAGAGGTCGAAAGAAGAGGGCGTTAGATTCCCTGGAACTGGAGTTATGGAGTTGTTAGCCATTATGTAGGTGCTGGGAATTGAACTCTGGTCCTCTGCAGGAACAGCAAGTGCTCTTAACTGCTGAGCCATTTCTCCAGCCTCCCCTGCTTCCTCTGCTGACTTGTGTACCTTCTGTGAAGACCCTGTGATTACACTGGGATCATATCCAGGAAAATCCAGTCTAAGATCCTTAAGTTTGTTTTGTCTTTACAGTCTGCTTTGTCACACGAGGTAGCATATTTACTGGACTGTGTCATTAGGACATGGACACGATTGGGTGACCATTCAGTGTGCTGTATATCCCTTCTGTACAGTCATATGATTATATGCACAGGAAAGGCCAAGATCATTTAAAACAGATTATTAGTATTAATCATGAGTTTAGGAGATGATTCAATTGTTTTTGCATAGTTTAGACACAGTGAGTTGAAAAATATAATTTCAAACAAGTTTCGTAGCATTAAGAAATAAATTATATAGTATGATGCAAGTAAATTTAACAAGCTGGGTGTGGTAGTGAATGCTTAGAATCCCAGAACTTGGGAGGCTGAGGTAGGATCACCACAATTTTGCGGCTGGTCTGAACTCCATAGGAAATTTTTGTCTCAAAACAAAATGACAAAAACTTAGCCAGGTGGGGTGGCGCACGCCTATAATCCCAGCACTTGGGAGGCAGAGGCAGAGGCAGGCAGATCTCTGTGAGTTCAAGGCCAGCGTGGTCTACATAGTGAGTTCCAGGACAGCTGGGGCTACAGGGAGACCCTGTCTCAAAAAGACCAAAAAAGAAAAAAAAAAAAAAACCAACTAATGAGATGTTTCACACGTTTATAAAGAAAATTACAGGGTTGGTGAGGTGGCTCAGCAGGTAAAGGCTTAGTGCCAAGCCTAATGACCTGAGTTCAGTCCCCACATGGTAGAATGAAAGAACCAATTCCTGCAAGTTGCCCTCTGACCTCTACATACATGTGTGTGCACACACACAAATGTAAGGTACATATTTTTAATGTTTATAAAGAAAATTACAGGGTTGGTGAGGTGGCTCAGCAGGTAAAGGCTCTTAGTGCCAAGCCTAATGACCTGAGTTCAGTCCCCACATAGTAGAATGAAAGAACCAATTCCTGCAAGTTGCCCTCTGACCTCTGCATGCATGCCATGGCATGTGAGTCCACACAAATACACATAATAAATAAATAGATAGATAATAAATAAAAATTTAAATACATAGGCAAAATGCTTGAGTTGAAAATTATTTCTTAGCTTTAACACCAATGACATAGGCAGCACCAACAAAAATTAGACTTCATGAAAATTAACAAATTATGTACATCAAAAGACAGTATCAAAGCCAGGAGTGACACATACACCTGTAATCCCAGTACTCAGGAAGTTAAGAGAGGAGGACCGCACATTCCAAGCCAACCTGGGCTACAGAGTATAATCTTGTCTCAAAAAAAAAAAAAAAAAAAAAAAATTGGGCATGGAGTACATGCAA